GTGCCCAGCTTCTGTGGGCCATGACGGGTCTCCCTGAGACGCCAGAGGACAACTGCTGTCACTTTTTGATCCTAGATCTCTCGACACCCTTGATCCTTGGCTGTTACAAACAAGACATCACAGGTCACTTCTTGGTGACTCTGTCTGTGTTTTCTGGATCTACACAACTGCAGGGGCTCCAACACTGGTTAGCACATCTCTTTTTAGCTCTATCAGGAGAAGACCTTACTCGCTAGAAAAAGTGTGCAGGTCCCACTACTAACTTCACTGGCTAACAGGCTATCCACATTCGCAGCATAGGATGTGTACCGCCATTTGCTTCTCAGGAACAGTATTTCCCGCAGGAAGCCCCCATTCGCTAGCGGGTTGTAACATCCTGCAACCCGGAACACATCTCCCATGGAAACAGCATAATCACGGATGACTACATTTACCAGCTAAGCTACAGCACGTTTTGAAAGAAGGGGTGAGGGGCCACAGTGTACAGAGACCCTAAGTGTCCCCGGCTCACCCGCGGAAGAGGCACATGTCAAGGGTGAGGCACTGAGGAGCGTCCCTGACCAACCCCTATGCTGGATCTGGAGACTGTTAACTACAACTGGTAACAGCAGCCGATCCCTACTAAATGATGAGATGGTGACCCCAGGTCATTAGTGCACTTGGCACCTGCCCAAACCCAAAGTAAATCTCTCTAGATGAAGACAACAACATCCTTAACTTCATATGATTTCTATGAACGATTATGAAAACACAACGTCCAGCACATAAAAATAACCAGGCATACAAGGAGACAAAACAAGCTGAACGAAAATCAACAGCCACAGGGACAATGAGGAACAGCCCCATAAGAGTTGTAAAATGCAGACTTTAGAATTCTGTGCTCCCCATGTTACACAAGACAAGACAAAGTTTCATCAGGAACACGCTGACTGTAGGAAAAGTCCATGGCAGATAAAAATAACCAAAAAAAGTTCTAGAACTCAATAATACAATAACCAAAATTAGGGATGCAGTAAATGGGTTTAAGAATAGATCACACACGGGTGGCACCTGGGTGGCTGGGTCGGCTGAGCATCCAACTTTGGCTCAGGTCATGATCTCATGGCTTGTGAGTTCGAGCCCTGCATCAGGCTCTGTGCTGAAAGCACAGAGTCAACTTGGGATTCTCTCTCCCTCTCTGCCCCTCCCCTGCTCACAGGTGCACTCGTGTGTATGCTCTCTCTCTCTCTCAAGATAAACATTTAAAAGAAAAAAAGAATAGATCACACTATGGGTCACCTGGCTGGCTCAGTTGGTAAAATGTGTGACTCTTGATCTCAGGGTTGTAGGTTTGAGCACCATGTTGGGTGTAGAGATGACTTAAAAAAATAAAATATTAGGGGCTCCTGTGTGGCTCAGTCAGTTAAGTGTCCTACTTCGGCTCAGGTCATGATCTCAAAGTTCATGAGTTTGAGCCCCGCATCGGGCTCTGTGCTGACAGCTCAGAGCCTGGAGCCCGCTTCGGATTCTGTGTCTCCTTCTCTCTCTGCCCCTCCCCTACTTGTGCTCTGTCTCTCTCTCTCTCTCAAAAATAAATAAATGTAAAAAAATATATATTTTTTTAAATAAAATCTTTAAAAAAAAAGAAAAGAAAAGATTACACCCTGTTGTTGAGAAAGTCAGTGAACTGGAAGAAAGGTCAAAAGAGAATATTCAGAATGAAGCAAATTCAGAAAAAAAAAAAAGCAGGCAGACTATCTTGATGGAGGGTAATTCAGCTCTGATTTCTTCATTTATTCCTTGTTACTTGATTGGCTGTACTTTTTTTTTTTTTTTTGTAGGCTCCATGCCCACCACGGGGCTTGAATTCACAACCCTCAGATGAAGAGTCACATCCTCTCCTGCCTGAGCCCACCAGGCATCCCAATTGGCTGTGCTTTTAGACATATGGAGTCTGTTTTCTGGGCTCTCTAGTCAATTCTGCTGGCTTATCTGGCTATCCGTGGCCACTGGCAGACCCTCTTAATTACAATGACTTTCTAATAAGCCTTGGCATCCAGCGGACCAGGTCCCCCACCTTGCTCTTCTTCAAGATGGCTTTGGTTCTTCTCAGCCCATCTCATTTACATGTATATTTACGTACAATCTTATTTACATATAAAATTTATATGGGTTTTGGTTACTACTGCACTAAATCAGTACAACAGTCTGGGGAGAAATGACATCTTTACGATACTAAGACTTCTACTCCATGAACATGGTTAGCCACTCCCCCACCGCCACCCATGTTCTTAAGTCTTCCTAAATTTCTCACAACATTTTACTTTTATTAGATTTATTTTTGGTTATTTGATCTTTTACGCTCTCAAAAACAAATAAATGTCACTTCATTTTCCATTTATTGTTGGTACACAGAAACACACGTAATTTTGCATATTATCCAAGTAGCAGCAATCCTGCTGAACTCGTTATTTAAATCATTTATTTGCATATTCTCTTGGGTTGTCTTTGTAGGTAACGATATCATCTGTGAATAATAGCAGTGTTATCAGGGGCGCCTGGGTGGCTCAGTCGGCTGAGCGGCCGACTTTGGCTCAGGTCATGATCTCACAGTCCGTGAGTTCGAGCCCCGCGTCGGGCTCTGTGCTGACAGCTCGGAGCCTGGAGCCTGTTTCAGATTCTGTGCCTCCTTCTCTCTCTGACCCTCCCCTATTCATGCTCTGTCTCTGTCTCAAAAAAAAATAAACATTAAAAAAAAATAGCAGTGTTATCATTCGTAAGAGTGTTATGTTTACATGTAGGTGGTTTTTTTTTTCTTGTCTTATTGCCTTGGCTAAGACTTCTACTACAACGTAGCATACCTGGCATCTAAACCAAAGTTCGGCCAACAGTAGAAACCAAATGAATACTGATTGAGAAAATGGATAACCTGTATTTTCACAAGCCACCAAAACTGAGCTAACAGACCACCAACAACCAGCATCAGCACACATCTCTGCTCAAGAGTTCACTACTGGACTTCATGCCAGGAGGTCCTAATCCTGCTTGTGAACACACACACGGGTCTGCGCAGGGTCTGAGATGGTAAAGACCACCTGACCGTGAAATAAAGACAGAAAAAAAAGGGGGGAGAGAGAAAATTGCTCAAAGAAAGAAACACGGCCTACGTTGTTTGGAGTCAATACAACAGCTCTCCTAGAGAAATGGACTGAGAAATTATTATTTTTTATTTATCATGGAGAGAGAGAGTGTGCACACACACGAGTGTGCATGAGCAGGGGAAGGGCAGAAGAGAGGGAGAGAGAGACTCCCAAGCAGGCTCCGCACTGTCAGCGCAGAACCGGACTCGGAGCTCGATTATCACACACCGTGAGATCGTGACCTGAGCCGAAACCAAGAGTTGGGCACTTAACCAACTGAGCCACCCTAGGCGCCCCGAGAAATTATTTTAATTAATAAGACCGCTTGATAAAATGGTCGGGTGCAAAACCACAAGACAAAAATTCGTTACTTTTTAACACCCAGCAACAGCCAGTCAGAAAATGCAACGGAAAACACACAGACCTTATCACAAGAGCAGCAAACCCCACAAAATCCCTAGAGATGAGCCTAAAACGAAACACGTATGTGGAAAACAAGGTTGGTTTTACTACAACACGCAGAGGTGACATTAAGGAATGAAGAAACGTTCCATGTTTCTAAATAGGAAAACACTGTAGGGACGCCTGGGTGGCTCCGTCGGTTGAGCGTCTGACTTCGGCTCAGGTCATGCTCTCACAGTTCGTGAGTTCGAGCCCCACGTCGGGCTCCGTGCTGATGGCTCAGAGCCTGGAGCCTGTTTCGGATTCTGTGTGTGTGTGTGTGTGTGTGTGTGTGTGTGTGTGTGTGTGTGTCTCCGCCCCTTCCCTGCTTGTACTCTGTGAGTCTCTCCCTCTCTCTCAAAAATAAACATTGGGGCGCCTGGGTGGCGCAGT